GCACTTTCTCCTTTTTTAAGAAACTTTAAACTTACAGCTCACACAGTTGTAATATTTCTCAAGTGTTTGTTTATGTGAATAGTTTTCTAATGAGGTCATAGCCGGTTTCCCGGACACAATAGCACTTATGGCATTTCCTCTTTCACTCTCCCCCCTTTTCATGATTTTTTTTAATAACATGCCTTAAAAGACAGAGAAACAGACGTATAAAAATTAAACATTGGAACTGCTCAGTGAGAATGAATTTCATCCTCAACATTTTGTAGTCATTCTAAGTGATAAGAACACAGCCAGAAAAGTTTCTTCTAGTAGTCAACAAAATCTTTCATTTTTAAAAGGGTCAGGGTTTTTAATCTCTTGTGAGTAACATTAGGCACCTACAGGTGAGCAGCCTGACTCTTACAGAGTTTCTGAACATGTGCTTATTGAAGTAGAAAGGCATTGTGGGTTATCACCACTTAAAAAATGCTAACTAATGTATTGGGTATACAAGGTTTGGAATTGAGTATTAAAACATCAGTATTGACCTCAAACTGAAAGGGGGTTGAAATAATCATATTGAATTGTGACATCAATTCTATATAGTATGCATAAAAATACCTTCTCTCTGTAAAATCTTATGAAGACCAATTTGCTGTGAAATTTCACCAATTCTCAGGACATAATTAATATTACAAGAAGCCAGTGATCTAATGTCCTTCTCTGTTCTCTATGTAGTATTTGGATTAACATGTATAAGATTTTTACATTTTTTCCCTCTTACTACTTCTCTTTGTCACCATTCTTCTTTTTGCTTCTTTCTGCCTCCTTTTTTCTTCTTTTCTGTTTTTGGTTGTAGTTCTAAGAAAACCAAAATTAAGAAGTGAATTTTATTTTCTTTTGAAAATAATAAGATTTTCAGTCTTTATCTAATCTTTGGTGACATCCATAGGCTAGATCTTATTTTTGACAAACACCCTGACTCCTGTTATCAGAAACTTCACCTTTCAGGCTGATACATTTCTTAGAAATTGAATTTAGTGGTTGCAGGACATATTACTCTGAAGATATCCATTATTTGGAAAAATATAAGCCAGTTCCATAGAAGTCTATGAAGATTGTAACTAAACCTTTTTCTGTGCCTGTTATGCTGGTACAATGTAACAAGCAAAGTATGGGATGATGCAATCATGGTTGGTAGAACTGAGGAGATGGGCTGCTATTTTGTCACTAATTTAATTTGTTTCTGGTTGGAGTGTTCATTCTTTATGCATGTTGAGTTAAAACAGAACAACAGGCTATGACAGTATTAATACTTTCTAGATTCAAGTTTGACAAGATGGAATTAATCCTTCTAAAGAGAGGTAGATAGAAGAAATTATGTCTGTGTGTGTCTACCTGTGTGCCCAGAAGTGGTCAGAAATCCTGAATGACCCAAGGCTTTGGACTTGTTTGACAATCTAGAACTCCATACTCCTTCGGTGGAAACTAAGGCAGTAGCGATTTCTGCCTGGAGGATCTTTGTGTTTTACTATAGACTTAATTGTAACTTAGGTCTATATAAAAATCATGCAACAGTCCTAATTTTTTTAACCTTAAAATTCTCATAAAGCAGTTTTACTATAACTTTCTTATATAACATGGTACTTGAGGTGATATTTTTATTTTTGTGGCAGTGCACTTGCAGTTCCTGCCACTATAAGGGCTGAGTCAAGGAGCCAGCAGGTGCTTGATTGCGGCAGCCATTTCAAAACACTAGCTTCCTATATAAACACAGCAACTTGCTGCTGGCAGGCAGGCAGAAACATCGCCTGGCTGCAAGGCTGTACGAAACATCTAGGAGGTAAGGGCAAGAGCTTATGGGGATGGCTAGGAGGTTTTTGGTCCTGTGCATGACCTAAAACTGCACCCTGCTAGGGATGGGTAGCCTGGGGGGGCTCGTAGTGGCGCAGGAGTCCCTAAGAAATTCCAGGCCAGTTACTACCCCAATGAAAGGCAGGTCGGGGAACCTTAACCCATAGCCTCCACAACACTGGGTACAAGGGGGCCAGGCATGGCTATGGCCACCTGAGTGAAAAGATGGTGTAAGACCCAGGCAGGGCCAGGCATGTCTATGGCCACCTGAGCCTCCACAGGGAAGGGAAACCCCAGAGCCCCAAAGGAGGGGGTAGAAGTGTAACCCCAGAGAGGGGGGATCATAAGGGCCTGGAAGATGGTTGAGTAGGGCTGAGAGTCATTCTGAAGGGCAGCCCAGAGGGGATGTTGAACAGCCTGAAGGGCAGCACAGGGGCCAACCCCCTGGAGAGCAATTTGAGGGAAGTGTGGAGCCCCAGAAAGGGGGAACAGAGGGTTGGGAGCCCAATACATGGGGCCGGGGGCCCATTGTGTGTTTGTGTAGGTTATGTAAAACTGCCCTAGGAGGGGCCAGGGCAAGCTTGGCCCAGGTCAGGAACTTGGGTGGCCACAACCTAGGTGAGGGTCACTGGAGAGGCCCAAGAGACTGTATGTCTGCCACCCAAGGCGTGATCCAGATAAAGCCTATGGCCTATGGGAGCTGCTTCAAGAGGGAGCAGGGTGGAACAAGTTGTCAATGTGAGAAAGAGACCCTATGAGATTGGGTGGAGTGTGAGAGGCCCTAATGAGTGGAGGGTGGAGTGAATGTGTGTGTGAAAAAGGCCTAACACTGAGGACTAAGCTTAGCCTGGCTCTGGGCTGGGAGCATAATGTCACCATGGATGCCATGTGCAAGGCCTGGGCTGCGGTGTAGGGGAGGTTTGGAGATGCAAATAGCGCTCCCTGGCATCGGGGCATATAATGGGCAGTGTCCCGCATTTACCACCCATTTATGGGAACAGCAAAGTCGTGGCAGGAAAGACAGGGTGGACTGCCCCCTAGAGACAGGTGGGTGGGCTGGTATGAGACCTGGCCCCAAGTATGCCCTCCTGTCACAATTTTATTAGCAAGACTTAGGGATCATGGTTTTATTCTCAAGTTACCAGATCATATCAAATGAATATCACTACCATCTTTAGTCCAATCATGTAGTAAACATACAGTAATCATATTATGTTAGATCGGTATTTGACCAAAGGCATCTCCTTTAGAAATTGGCAGGGGGGGAGTTCAAATGTTTCTGGCTTTTTAAAATATCCATCCAACTGAAACTTTAGGCTGCTGTAGTGTTGAGTATCCAGTTGTGCCCAAGCTTCTTATGGAAAGGAAGATTGCAACTAAGAAATTTTAGAAATCCCTAAATGTTATCTAAAATAGAAAAAGCCACGGATCATGTGTTTTGATTTTTAAGTTTCACTAGCTTGTAACCAGCCAAGGTTAGAAATAGCTGATTAATGCCACTGGAGAGGTAATAAGTAAATTTAATTTCACAGTCAACATTTGAGTTACAGTAATGCAGAATTGTATTGATAGAAATGTACCTGAGTTACCCTGAGAACACTTCCTGACTAGAATTTGACTGACTTTCTAATGAAGAAACAGGCCTTTGAATATTTCCTACATTTAAAAAACCATGCTTTAGAAAACTGCAAAGCTCACCACTGTCCTTATATCCCTTTCTGTCACTAACAGCATAATATTTTTAACCTTGAAGCTCACTCTTCTTTTTTTATAAGGAAATGTATTATGGCTAATAGTGGAGTGGGATGTATTGGGGATTCTGTTGGGGGCAAAGCTAAGTGAGGTAGCATTTCTGGTTTATTTTGTGTTTGGGTAATTGGAATTTTAGTGGTTATTTTAAAACAATTGTTAACATTTCACAAACTTTGAATGGCTGTTATTTTATTGTAATTTTTTTTTCTATTAAAAAAAAAATACGTGTATCGGGTGACCATTTGTTCCCTTGTTTAACCTGGACAATCCCAGATTTCGGAAGCTGGTCCTAACTGGCTGATGAGAATTAAAATGAGCATCCCAGAAATGCAGGAGTGTGAGGCACAGTCTGCCAGGGAGGTGGAGCAGTGCAGTGTGGGATAGCACACTGCTGCCTGCCCACCCACCCCTGCTTCTGCCTGAAGCAGTGCCACTGACTTGGGGGCAGGTTGGGTGCGGGGGGAGTAGGCAGTATCCCAGATGTCCAGGATTTCCTTATCGTCAGCCTATGCATGTATAATTTGATATAGCATTCACATTTTTAATTTTTGTTCACTATAATTACTGACTAGTGTGTGGCAGGGTCCACATCTGCAACACCCATTTATGACCATGATGGCAGAACTTGCCCTGCCTCAGTTTCCCTTAATGGTCATCAACTACCTACAGCATGTGTCAGTATTGTAATGACGTAGCCTTCCAGCAACATTACCCTCTGTCACGTTATCAAAATTCCAAACATAGTGAACTCAAGAAGAGGGCCATCTATCTCAATTTTTGGCAGGACCTAGCATCTCTACACCAGCTGTCTCTTCTTGTAAGACTCATCCAAGGTCCCTGCTTCAAACTCAGCTTGCCTCCAGGCTTCTGTCAACTGGTAAAACTTGATTCATAGATGCTAGGATCAGAAGGGACCTCAACAGATCATCGAGTCCAACTCCCTGCCTAGGCAGGAAAGAGTGCTGGGGTCAGATACATATTGTATTATGCCTGGGGTCAGATGACCCCAGCCAGATGCCTATCCAGCCTTCTCTTAAAGACCCCCAAGGTAAGGGAGAGCACCATCTCCGTTGGAAGCCCATTCCAAATTTTGGCCACCCTTACCATGAAGAAATCTGTTTGAGTTCTGTCAGCCCCATACTGACCTAAGTTTTCTTATTTTAATCTCTACCCACCATCCCTGACACTCAGAGCAGGTAGGTCAGGGTGGGGTAAATTGAGTCCATAGAACTTATTATCTCCCTCTTTGTCAGTGAGGGCACGCCTTCGTGCTGTCAAACAGGTGCACACCTCTTCTCTGAGGGATTGTTTTGGGTTTATTACTGGGGGCAGATATAACTAAGAATTTGTCTGCAACTAACATTTTGAATTATTTAAAAGCACAAAATGTTTTTTTTTCTGTCTACCTCTTTCAGAAGTCAAGCCAACTTGCATATTTAATGGCGTGGAATACTACGATGGAGACATGTTTCGAATGGATGCTTGTCGTTTTTGTCGATGTCAGGGTGGCGTATCCATTTGTTTCTCAGCCCAGTGTGGTGAGCTGCACTGTGACAGATACTATGTGCCAGAAGGAGAATGCTGTCCAGTCTGTGAAGGTAATTTCTCAATCACGTTCACTTATTATAGCTACTCTTTTTATTTGCTTTTTAAGTGGTGTGGAGATCTGAACCAGTATTGTTTTGTTTCTCTGGAAGTCTCCATCATCTTGGGCTTAGGTTTAAAAAGGGGATTTTACAGAAGGTGTCACAATGTTAGTGACACCTAGTTGTATCAGGAAACATGATGCGTCCTTTGCTAGAAAACCCTGGTTTACAAGGATAGCTTCCATACCCAGTGGCTGGAGCTGCCTTCTCCTTTCCCCCCTTACATGTTATGCAAAACTGAAATGATTGAGTTCAGTTTGCAGGAAAGAGAGCTTGAAGTGCTGGCTAAGGAGGGTTATTCCAACTATGTATCTTTAGCGTTACATTTTTGGAGGTATTGACCTGATGGCTCCTGAGTTATCCAGCTTCACTATTTGATGTTTAGTCAGTCACTAGGTCTCAGTTCAGTATACTGGTTTGATTCTGGTAAGGTCCTTAGGGATGTCAAGCTTATGGCCCATGGGCCAGAACTGGCTCGTAGAACCATGTTGTTTAGCCTATGGAGCTTGTAGAGGGGTTGGAGCAAGTGGAGCATGGAACCCTATTGAACATGCATGTCAGCAGTGGGGGGTGAGCGGTGGCTGAAATGACCCCACTATTGCTGCTTGCCCCACCGCCACATCCAGATCCAGCTCACAGAGAGAGCCTGTCAGTCCAAATCTGCCCCAAGGAATGGGGCCAGTTTGACAGCCCTAGACTATAGCCATTGCTGTTTTTGTTTGTTAATAAATTAATATGCATGTATATGACTGAAAATCAAGAGACTTGGAGTCTAATCTCCAATCTGCTGAGAAATTCTCATGTGATACTGGACAAGTCCCTTAAATATCATCTTTTCTAATTGAACTTCTTCACTTTTAAAAAATCATTGTTATGTTTTCTTCCTCACAGTAGTGGTATAAGGAAAATTTAGTAAAGATTCTGAAGTGCACTGAAATCCTCCAAAGGAGCTAGAAAAAGAAAATGTTACTGCTACTGTTACTCAGAAAATTTAGCTTATTGTGACCCAAGTTTACTATGTTCCCAATTCTGCATCCCTTAGTTACCTGAGCATGCATTTCTTACTCAAATGAATAATTCCTTTAAATCACTTGTTTTTTTGCTTCATTGGTGACTACCTGTGTTTTAGGCCAATAGGTATAAATATATATGGGAGTAGAATTAACATATTTTGATAATGGTATGTATGATAACCTCTCTATCTGAGCATTGTGTATTGTGCACTGATACACAAAGTACTGAGTACTGTGAGTACTAAATGACACATACTCAAGGAAAATTCTTTTCAGGCAAAACACAGCACCAGAGAACTTGGCCCATTGTCTCTATTATTTCCTGAAAACTTGGTAAAGTAAAATTTGTCAGGAAATTGTTCTGGCAAATTGTCACATATTGTTAGAACTGTTTTTAAAAATTAGCCTTTTCTCTTCCTCATCTGAGACTCTAAGAATAGGACTGTCAAGCAGATTTGTTTTCATTCTCCCCTATATCTTGGGAGGTAATGTCTGAGATGTATGAGAATAGAAGTGGAACCGTCTTGTCATAGTTCTTGGTAGACAGGATACAGTGGATAATGATTTGACAGTTGTCCAACAGAACGGTTTCCTTTAGGTCTAGGTTGGTCTCAGCTGCTATTTAATTTTTTCTTGGCTGATTAGCTATTAGGCGTTGGCTTTATATGTCAGCCATGATGTTATGGCTTGCTTGTCGGATACCTGCTTTCTAGTATGGCTTCTCAAATATCTTCATCAGGGAAGTCTGCTATACAGATTTTTGTTAATTAGCAAGCAAAGTACTTCTCAGTTTGTATGGTCAGTCTTTTTTTTACTCAACTGTGGTCTTTCAGGTGAAATCCAATTATGGGTTTCCTTTAAGATATTATAATTCTCCTCCTTCTGTTGAGCATAAAAAAGTAAGAACATACGATATAAACCTCTCCATTCTAAGTCAAATTCTATCTAGATGATATATATAGAAGGCTATCTGTCCAAGTAATTTGCATCAAATATGTACATGAGTATTTGCATGATATGTATACACACGTGTGTGTGTGTGTGTGTTCTTGGGCTTCCAAAACACATGTTTAGAAGAAAACTAGGAATACACAAATCCAGTGATTCACCCAGAAGTGTCATCGTTGCTTATTTTTTCCTCTCTCTCCTTTTTTTTTTTCCTCCTTCGTCTACCAAAGGATGGATTTCCTCGTGTTTTGTTAAATATTTTCTTTCTTGGATGGTAACTTAGCTTCCTTTGCTTATGTTTTCCTGATTATTTGCATGGTGTAGTTTAGGAATTCTTGTTCTTTTTAAAATATTAAACATACCTACCACTTTTGCAGGAGTTCTCAAAAGAATCCAAGATGAGATTTCTGCCCCCTCCCCTCCCCCTCCACGTATTCATCATGGAGAAAAATAAACCTCATCTTCGATTCAAGTATACCCAGGGCAGGTAGCTGCTCTGGCTCTGGCCCCAGGTCTGTCTTCAGCCCTAGCCAGACAGTGATGGCACAGTGAAAGGGGGGAGGGAGGAGATTTCATGGTTTGGGGTGGGGAAGATCATGAGGTCTGGCCCAGGGGGAGCATGGGGTGAAAGGGAGAGCGCATGGTAAGGAGGGGGAGCTCAGAGGAAACCATGCAGTGCAGGGGCAGGGATGGTGTAGGGAAGATCATTCAGTGCAGGATGGAGGGAGCATGGAGGAGATTCAGGGCCAGAGCTGGAGCTGCCATCACTGCTGCTGCCACACCAGGGGTAGAGCCACCATGTGCTGCATGCCCTGGGGTACAGCAAGAGCCACTATGTAGTGTAAGCGGTAGTGGTGGAAGGGGGAGAACAAGTGACTGTGGGGGGCAGGCTTCAGGGTGGTGGGTGAGAGGGTCAGGTACCACAGAAAGGCAATTGGTGGCGGGGGGGACAGTTGGCAGAGGGAGCAGGCACAGGGTGGGGGGGGACAAATGGTGTTGGGGCAGGCTGCCTGCCCCACTGCTGCTGCTTTCCCCATCACGATAGTGATGGGATGGATTTAAGATGACCCTGCAATAATTAGATTCTACATGTGGAAAATTATAACAAATTTATCATTTTCCATATGTAGAATCTAATAATTGGGTTTGAATCTTAAATTCAAAGTTTTCTTTAATTTGGGTAAATATGGTAATTCTTTCTGGCACCAAGGAGTACAGTAATGTCTCCAAATTTTTTTTTATCGTATAAGGTTTACATGTAGATCAATGGCAATGCATACCTCCAAGTGCTCACTAAAGGAGCAGCCCCTGTATTTATCTAGGTCAGTGGTCACCAACCAGTTGATTGGGATCAATAGGTCGATCCCAGAGCCTCTTGTAATCAATCTGGGGTGGGGGGGCTGAGTGCATGCCTGCGCATCCCCCCAGCCAGCCAAGCAGGTCAGTTAGTGGGGGAGGGAAGGGGCGGGGGCCAGATCAAGGCCCCCACAGTGAGGGACCGAATGCAAGAGCATCTAGGTGAGTGGTGCTGGTCCCCAGCCAGCTGCAGCAGGGCTCTGGGCGCAAAACCCAGCCCACAGCGGGAGCTGCCTCCGCTGCGCACAGATCAGAGGACGCGTGCCCCCCCTCAAACCCAGAGCAGCATGGGTGGCTGCAGCAGGGGTCAGGGAGGGACATGGGCTGGAGCAAGGGCTGGGCAACAGGGGTGGGGCAGGACAGCCCCAAGCGGCTTGAGGGGGAGCACTAACCCTGGGAAGGCACAGGGGGTGCATGCACCTGGAATTGCATGTGACAAGGTGAGGCAGCGTGGGCTGCAGTTGACGGCTGGGCCTGGGCTGTTCCTGGCAGAGGATGTGACTGTGCTCCACTCGGGCTGGGTGGCAGCACTGGGAGCGGGGCTATAACTCCTCTACCATGCCCAATCTCAGGACAGCCACAGCCTCTGCTGCGATCAGCTCAGTACCCCTTCCCAGCTCCAGCCCCAGCCCCTCCCCGCCCCCTGAGGGCACAGGGGCCATGTGCCCTGGATCTGCGCAGGAGGAGGGCAGGCTGCAGCTATGGGCTGGGGCTGGGAGGGAGCGCCAGGCTGATCCTGGCAGAGGAGATTGGGCCCAGTGGCAGTGTCACTGGGAGGGGGCTGGGGGGGCTACAGCAAATTTTCAGGTGGTGGCAGCACTGCTGCATCCTCCACCAGGTACAGCCCAGCCCCAGCCGGCAGCTGCAGCCTGCGCCGCTCGACCCCGCCCCACCCCCTGCAATTCTAGGGGCACATGCCCCCCTGTGCCCTCCTGGGGTGAGTGCTGCCCCCTGCCCCCAGACGATCTGCTCAGGGCTCTGCCTCTCCCCACCCCAGCTGTTCAAGGCCTGCCCCTGCTCCAGCCCTTACTCCCTCCCTCACTGCTGTTGGGGAGGAGGGGGCAGATTGAGGCCCCAGAGGGGAGGGACAGAGTGGGGCTAGGGCTGGGGCATTGATTTGCCCTGCCCTACCCCATGGCCTTCTCCCCTCCCCCTACTCCTTACCCCACAGACTTATCTGCTGGGGGGGGTGCCCCCCTCTGCCTTGATCTCCCCTCTTCCCCCCCCCCCCCAGACTTCCCTGCCACTGCAGGGGAGGGCACAGGGTAGATCTTGGGTTCCTTTTAAATTCCAAAAGTGATCTCCAACTTAGATCAGTGATCTCCAACCTTTCTAGGTGCAGGATCTACATTTTAAAAGGATATTATATGGGATGTGAGCTTGGAAGGCTTCTTGGTGTGATCCTTCTCATCTCACATAATGGTCAACAGAGTTTAGTGATAAGATACCTGACTTTCATTTCCTGGTAAATCTATCCTGATTTGGTTTGGAACAAGACAAATAATTACAAATAAAAACAAAATTTAAAGAAAATCGATATTGTGATATTAAGAACCAAAAACTTCTTACATATCAAATTTCTTTTTAACATTAGCAAAATTACTTGATTTTCCTTAACAAGAGTTTAGAAAATTATTAGCTAGTTTTACTGAAAGTTTAGAAGGAACCTGTGGAAAAAGCTTGGGGACATACAATTTCAGTCCAAATGGTTAAGTTTTGGTATAGTTATAAAATATTTAGGGGTGCACCAATAAAGATTTTCTTGGCTCATACTGATAGCCAGTTATTAACCAGCCATATCGGCCAGTACTGACCCAATAACCGATTTGGTTACATGTGACAACAGAGGCTACTGGAGCACACCAAAATAAAAAAAAAAGTTTGTCAGTATTTCAAAATGTACTGACATAAATAAACTTTTTTGCACAATCCAGCAGCCTTTGGCGTTGCATGTATCAGCATCCCGGTATTTAAAAATGGTGGCAGGGGTGCTTAAACCAAAGCTTGTCAAATGAGCTCTAGTTCAAGCACTGCTACCACCATTTTTAAGCACGGGGATACTTTTAAGTGGGGCAGAGCTGAGCAGGGTGAGGGGGTATGCGGCCTGCCCTCTGTGGGCTCTCTCCACTCTGATGCCTTTGCCCTGAGAGCCCCACATCAGCCATGCATCCCCTTCCCGCCTGGCAGCAGGAGGCACAACTCGCCTCCCTCACTGCTGCTGGGTGGACAGGGGGTGCGTGGCCGGTGCGGGGCTCTCAAGGGAAAGGCAGCAGAAAAGTTTTTGGGATGTACCTGTTGGCATTTTTTTCAAGGGTGCATGATGGAACTTTCTGAAATATCCCAGCTGTCATTAGTGGTCTGTCTCTGTTTTTCCTCTTTTCTTCCTGGAGATGGAATTATTTTCTCTACAAGTGCTTGAAACATAACTGAGCTTGAATTTGACCTGAGGATATAGGAAAGTGTGTCTGCACATTTTTGGAGTTTGCTTCTCTTATTTGTTTCCATTGTTAATTATTAAGGAGGTCTCTTATTTAATGCTAGTTTGAGTTATTGTTTGTTTTGAAGTGATAATAGAATTACTCTTCATTTTTTAATTTATGCCTTTATATGTTTTTGATAGCTAATATGAAAAAAAATTGCCTAGATTAGAGCTCATGCAACTGAGAAAAACACATTTTGGCCTGTATATTACGTGGAATAGAAATGGTCTCTGAAATAACTATGGCCCCACCCATTTAAAGTGTTACAGCTTTAAAGTAGCACATTACAATGCATTACAAAGTAGTACTGTCAACTTACATGCATCTTTAATTAATTTGATTCCTGTCATAAGCACCCTTCCTAATCAAGGTGCTGTTTTCTATAATTAAATGTTCAAGTGGCTTTACTATGCAGAATGTCTAAAAATGACAAAAGCATAAATCTATGTGGCAATATCAACACTTGAAAGGAGGAGGGCCTCAGCCTGAATGCAAATAATAAAAAAGATACAGTCTTTGATTCTCACCAATGACTGGCTGTAATATTAACAAGTACTGTACCAATAGCTCATTGAGAGAGATCACTGTTTTTTCTTCTTTTTTCCTTACTTTCTTTAAAAATACCCCCAAAAGTAAATGGAAAAGATATTTTCATGCAATATTAAGTATGGACTACTGAAGTATGCAACTAGAAAAAGTACATGTTCAGGTTCTGGTATCTCTAGTAAGTTAGCCAGGTATGCATAATATTTTCTCTTCCACCTTTGTTTATTAAAATTGCATATTTAACATGGAATTGAAAAATATACATCATAAAACATGCCGAATAGTCAACATGGGTGAATTAATGTTTCTGACATTATACATCAACATCAAACTCTGACTTTTTTGACTTATTAGCCATGCAATATTAGGACTGTATGATTATAACGTGAAGCTCTTTGCATTAGATGGTGCATTTGACGGTGTGTTCATTTCCTGTTGCTTTTTGTGTACCTTAAAAGATCGTCATTAATTGGTGATATTCATAAATAACTTCTATAAATAACAAGAGAAATGACATTTCTTCTTACTGTAATTTATCTTGTTTTAGATCCAGTTTATCCAGTTAGTAACCCTGCTGGCTGCTATGCCAATGGACAGATTCAAGCACATGGAGATCGCTGGAGAGAAGATGATTGTACATTCTGCCAGTGCATCAATGGGGACCCTCACTGTGTGGCAACAGCTTGTGGTCAGAGCTGCTTGAATCCTGTTAAAGTGCCTGGGGAATGCTGCCCAGTATGTGAAGGTAAGACCTGTATATTTCTAATGCTATTTGTTCCAGTATGTTAGCTAAAATGTGTATTGGTTTTTTAAATAAGATTTGATAGTTTGAGAAGTTATGTACACATTGTTGACCTGATTTCACTGCTGTGAATGTATGTTTATGAAAATATATTAATACATTAATAAAAATTGTATGCTAAACTGGGGTTCCTCACTTTAGGCTGCTTTGCCTCTTCTACTTAGGTAGTTGAATTTACCAAGGGATTAATACAGATCTCATTAATGTCAAAGGAAGTGTTTAATTTGAGCCAACCAGTTATGAATCAGGCCCTAAGTAACAAAAAGAAACTTTTTGAACATCCACCCTTGTATATTTCCCTAGGACACTCTTGCATGCCTGAATTGGGACCAATATTTACAACAGCATAAGAAAGAACTGGTTAGACCTCAGAGGTTCAGTAATATGCTGGTTTTATTAAACAAGTCAAGGGCTAACCTTAAGCATGAGCTTGATATGTCTATAATTAGCTTTCTGCCATCTGGTAAATCTGGAGTTTCCCCTCTGTTTGTGGCTTTGTGGAACTTTGTGTCTCTGCTCAGCCTGGCACTGTGTGGGTCACTAGATGAGATGCATATTGACTAAAGGATCGATCTTTGCCGATCCAACACTTGGAGCTGCTAGGCCTTCTCCTAATTAACCTCTCCTCAGTAAAAGGAAGGGAAAAGAAACCAAATGCTTCCACTTCTAGTATGTTATGGAGCCTGAGGAAGCAGAGCAATAATTTATAACAAAACTAGAAGTTTTTATCTGTTCTATTAATTATAAAAATTAATAACCTTATATTCAATTTAAAAGTGAGATTAAAATAGTTCATTATCACACTAGGAAGAAGTTTCATCAAAGAAATTTTATCTGTTGAGTTCTCAAATCATTTTTAATATATATTTCTACTCTAGCTGAACTAGTAAGCTGCATTGTTTTCCAGCTGGAACTGCTATTTTTAATTTTCTTATAGAAATACAGAAATTTAACACATACATTTTACATAATTGGCTGAGTTTTTAAATTAGCACTATGACAGATTTAACAATGCTTTTATAATCAGAAGGCACTGAGGCAACAGTAGAAATATAAACTCATTTGCCAAAAGTAGAAAATGGAAGATGTCTGTATTGTCAGGGTTGCAGTTCTACATCATAGTTGCACTGCATGCACAATAAGATGTTAGGAGTATATTTTAAGAGTGTATGGATTTTATAAGCAGATTATTCAGTGTGTAAATGGGTAAAACTCCAAACCATGACAGTCAATTGGAAGTGGTATTTCTCATTTGTATTTGTGAATAGCAGTATCCTTGTCTTGTGAATTTTGTGGAGGAGTGCAATAGGGATTCAGAGAGCTCCTGTTATTTTAAGAGAAAGCTGCAGCAGGATGAGCTGCGGGTGGCTGGGGAGCCACCTGACTGGAAGGGGTACAGTTTAGAGATGGGCTAGGAGGGCTCACTTAGTGCTCGAGGGACAGGATTGGGCTGGCCAAAGGACAGAAGAGCTCACTCAGGGACCCTAAGGCAGCCTTCCTCTTCACATATTAACTAATTACATCAAGGTGTGACAGGCCAGGGAAAAGTGAGAGTACCCAGGGAGCTGGAGTGGGGCAGAAGCTGCATGGCTACCAGGAGGCCTGACCATTGCCCCTGGGGGCCAGGTCATGTTACAGGGAGTAAGAAAGCAAGAACTGTATGGCTGATGGGAATGATAATGGGTTCCAAAATTCTTGCCTCCTTCAGGTGGCCTCTGCATCTGCTGTCAGATTAGTACTTACTGGCATTGAACTGCAGAATATTATGAAGAGCAGTGTCTATTGTGGTCACTTGTCTGTCTCTTTCCCCTTGTGGAGTATTCAAAGTATACAAAAGGGGATGAATGGCCTCTTCTATCCCTCATTTCCTTTTTAACTGTTAATATTCTGACAGGCTTGGCTCACATGTTCTTCTCAGTATTAAGTAATTGGTGATTATTCCCCCTCCCCCCTTTGGTCCCTCTAAGTCAACCTAATCCAGTGTGAAATTCCTTGTACCATCAACAGTGTAGACATCTCCAGGTCTTTTTGAATCAACCCAATCATGTGCCAAACAAATTACCTGGTGTGTCATGCCATACTACCAAGGTAGACTGCTTCTGGTGCTTTGTTCAAAGCTAGTTTGACTATCACTACACTGCTCCTCAGCATGCCAAGAAGACACCTTCAGTCTTCTCAGGTTGATACACTGACTTCTGAATTGCTGAAATGCTTGACAAGAATGTTCTCAAAAAGTTCAATGGCTTCTACTGAAAACAGAAGCTTTTGAACACACACACAACTCTTCTGCTATTAACAGTCCTCTATTAATGCTATGTGTGAGTTCTACCAAGTCTTTTGGGTTCTGGTTTTGGTCTTACTTCTTTCATACTCTTAAATAACAGTCCATACTCATCACAACATACTCAAATTTATTAAAGGGTTTAAATTTACCTCAGGTAGAACTTGTTGCAGTTGCCTTGTGTTGATGTTTCCACCAAAGGAAACTGATTTTTTTTTCTGAACAGTGCATGGCTTGTTGAGTACCACAGAGTAGACATACTCATTTAGCAGTCCCAGGATAGTCCTTCTGGTTCATGTGTGTCTAGCTCATGGGTGGGACTCTTGTTTCAAAAATCTCTTGGGGCTTGTTAATGGTTAGGCTGCCATTTGTCTTCTATAAAGTCAGTGAAAAGGGCAGTCTTCGTAGCTAGAAGGAATGGACCATATTTCCAATACTCTGCAGATACTCATGTGAAGATAGGAAATCTACATTTTCATTCATGAATAAATGTCATTTTAGTGAGGCATACAACATATAGCTGCAGTCTACATATGCTGAGTCCTTTCATATGTATTTTCCCAGGCCTAATTTGTGCCATGGTATTAATGCTATTATTGGAATATATACATTTTTAGAGGTTTCATGTTCAGTACACCATTGTTTACATGTTCTGGCATGGAGTCAGTTCACTTGGTGAGTCAGTATCTTGCTGTGAACACTTAATACCTGTGCTCCATGATCTGTATGCTGACTTTTCAGTTAGACAAGGTTCTTTGGGTAAATTTGATATCTTTTATTAGACCAACTCAGATAGTTGGAAAAATTCTTTGCAAGCTTTCCGGTATAAATACCCTTCATCAGGCTAAGGAAGCATCTCCAGTTGATGTGTGCTCTTCCTTGATGGAATGAATGGTAAAGAACCCAAAGTCTGGTATGCATGCAAGAAAGTCAGTCAGTGAAGACATAAATTGAAGTCAGTGGGTGAGAGACAGGCTGGTGGGGGAGAGAGGGAATGAATGTAGCTGGTAAATAGTGGAGCAGTACTGGGGAGTTGGATGTTAGGCAGGTTATACTGTGTCATAAAGCCAATGTCTATATTTAGTCCATGATTTTTTGTATCCAGGAGGTTGATGAAGTGAAGTTCATAGGCTCATCTGTGAAAGGTGTTTTGTAAATTCCCTTTGAGGATTAGAACTGAGAGATTGGAGACAGAGTGGTTATCTTGTGAGAAACGTGCCCCCACAGGTAATCGGGTATTCTCGTCTTTGCTAGATTTCCAGTGTGCGTTCATTCTGGTGCACAGTTGTTGTTTGGTCTCTCCTACATATTTTCCATCAGGCATTTGGTTCACTGGATGAGATATTACGTTTCTGGAGGTGGAGCTGTAAGATCCAGGAATGCTGACGGTTCTGTTGTGGGATGTAGTTATTGGTGGAGATGTGTTGGCAGGTTTTATATTTCTTGTCGTGGATCCATTTGGTGTGTTTGGGGCCGCAGGAAGTTTGTTTCTGGTGATGAGGTTAGCAAGGTTGGGTGCTTGTTTGAAGGCTAGGATGGGTGGTTCTGGGAAGCTCTCTTTAAGAATTGGGTCTTTTTCTAGTATGGGTTGCAATTGTTTGAGGATTTTCTGTATAGGTTTGGGGGTGGGGGTGATATGTCATAACCGGTGGTGTGCTATTCATGGGGGTTTTCTTTCTGTACTGCAGCAGTTCTTCACATGGTATCCAGGTAGCCCTTTCAAAAGTGTGATCTGTCTCTCTGGAGGAGTGTCCTTGTCAAGTGAAAGCGAGATGTGTGAAGTGGCAATCTGAGGGCTTGGCTGTATATCACAGCTTTCTTGGTGTGTTTAGGGTAATTGATGGTTCTGTACAAATATGTATGTTGGTCTGTGGGTTTCTTGTTATCGTGGTCTGTATTTTACCATTCTGGATAGTGACCGTCATGTCTAAAAAGGAAATGTGGGTGATGGAGTATTCAAGAAATAGTCGGATGGAGGGGTGAATGATGATAGTCGGATGGAGGGGTGATGACTTTTCAGTTAAGATTTTAAAGTGATGTTTCTAACCTGTGAAGTCCTAAATGGTTTGATATTTGACTGTTTGAGAGACTGTCTTTTTCCCCTCTCAGATCCTTTTTCCATTATAAATTATTACAAGCCACCTTGTAAGAGTCAATCCGATCCTTAAGTATCCAGGCTGTAGCCATATTGGTCCAGAGGAAAAAGCAATCAGGACTCATAATAGAGGTAATATCTTTTATTAGACCAACTAGATTTTTGCAAAACAATGTCTTTAATTGCAAGTTTTCAGGCACAAACACCCTTCATCGGGCATCAAAGAAAAGATTGTAAAAGTTCTCCTGGGTAAAAACAAAACTTCATATTTCGTAGGATTTCATAGACGAGTCAATAAATGGAAAACTCCTCTGGGCAGGCATTTCTCAGTTGGTAAGGAGTCTCTGATGCCTGATGAAGGGTGTTTGTGCCTGAAAGCTTGCAATTAAAGAATTTTTTTTCTGCATAAATCTAATTGATCTAATAAAAGCTATCAACTCTATTATGAGTCCTGATTGCTTTTTCCTCTAGACCAATACGTCTACAACCTGGATACCTGACACATGGAAGATATTGAATTTTAGCTGATTTTAAAAAAATAAAATCTTCATAATTTCACAAGAAAGA